CTATTATTACTGTTGCAAAATAGCTCTGAAGGAAGCAGAAAAATAATGGTATTTTATTAGAACAAGCTTCAAAATATACCTATGTGGAAGTTTTTTGAGCAAATTTCTATATCAATTAAAATTCCATTAATTAATGTCAATTAAATATGACATGAACAGATATGATTTTATACAATTCTGAGTTGAAAATAAAGGTCCTCTTTAACTTGAATTGAATCATCATTGAAAATTTTGCAGATTTTGAGAAGATTGCTCCAAAATAAATCAACCTCAGTGATCAGAAATTCAAAAATTGGAATATGTTTTTATTTAACAGAAAATATTTTGTGATTTAGCAATGGAAATATCTAAATACTTCAGAAATAATTGAGAAATGATTAGATATTACCATACATCAAACATAAATACAAATCAGAGATGATCAATAAGAATAATTTCCGGGAATTATGCAATACATATTTCAAGGCTGTAATAAAAGACAAATATACATGAGAAGATCTATAAGGTCATTTTCCTGCCTAAGGATACTTTCCAAACCATAGGACTGGTAAGGGGAGCCCAAATAGTTAACAACAGCATTGTTGAGTAGAAGAAACTGACACAGCAGTGTGAGGCAGCTTACAAGATTCTGATTTGTCCAGCTAACCAGCATTTAGAATGTTGGATAAAAAAGGACATCAATAATTAGTATAATTATGCCTATGAGTATATTCCAATGTTAAATTAGAATACTAATTAGTGTTCAATTATGCCAGCCTTTGCAGGAAAGAGCTACAAAGACTTCTGAATGGGCTGGGTGGAGGTTCCTGAAATTGCTCGGTACCATCATATCAGAGCAGATGATTTGACCAAAATTTAAATAAGACTCCAGATGGAGTAGAGACTAACACAGATATGACAAGATCAAGGTGATCCATAACAAATTAACTTTTCACTAAGAAAAATAAAACGCTCAATATATACCTGAAGAAGACCAAAAAATAGGATTATCAACTATATGAGTTTTATAACACTCACCATAAAAAAAAAAATCATCTCTGAGAGGTAGGAAGTTGTAACCTACAATTGGGAAGAAAAAATCAGTAAAAGAGACAGAGATAGAAAGAGATGTGGGCTTCAGAAAACAAATATTTTAAAGTAGCTACTAAATATATTTAAATATTTAAGTTAAAACAACAACAACAAAAAAACAACTGAGAAGCACTGCTAAGAATCTGCAATATGTGAGAACATACTTTACCTGTCTTCCTCAACTACAAGGTGGGTTCAGAAGATTTGAATGCCTGGGTCAGAAAAAAAAGACTTTATTACTTATGAAAAAACATGAACCTCATGTTGAACTCAATTCTTTTTGCTCCCCCAATGTATGGATGTGAAACAATGTGGCCCACATAGCAGGCTGTGCACACAGGAAGTTTAGGTCATTACAGACCAACCCCAATCCTAAGAAATGTGCATCTTTCCAGTGAACTGCAAGCTCACTTGAAAACAGGAACTTAGGCACGATAGAAGAAAAATTAGAAACACAGAATAATAGGAGACCCCCCAAAAAAAACAATAAATAGATGACAGATATAATAATAATAAGAGTTCACTCTCGAGATCCCAACTGATAATTGGAATACCATCTTATTTCTTAAATTGAATCTTATTATTATGTTTTCAGATAAATGCACAGAGCTAACAACATGTAATCTTCATTATCAGAGTATATTTAGAGTATTATATCTTCTCATATTTTACCCAGAATGTTTAAAGGAGATATTTCCTATATCTTTCTTCCTACATTCCACATCACAATGCATAGGATTCAATAGAGCATGATTGCTTTATCTGACTTCCATCCTTCCAGCAAGTTCTGTTATTTTTTTTTTAGTTTAGAATATATAATCCATCATGATGATTTTTGCTTTTGTTTAAAATATTTTTTAACTGAATTATAAGAAAAATATTTATTTTTTATAGGTAGCCACTTATACTTACCCATGTCTCACATTCCTCATTCTTTCCTTTAGATTTCAGTTTCCAGCTAACGTCTTTCCTCATTGGCATCTGACATTAAATTATGTGATTGACCCCTGAACATTCTTATTTTTTTTTTTTTGTTTTAGTAGATAGTCACATTGTTTACATGAAGTTTGGAGACTTAGTATTATGCTTAGTTGGTGAAGATCTCAGGAAAGCAAGGTATTCTTAAGCTTTTTGAGTTTGACAGATTGCAATGTATGATGTTTTATTTCCTTTGTGGAACTTGTCAACTTTAGGTTTCGTTAAAATGCACTACTTTATGCTTTACTCTAAGGTATAGTTCATTTTCCTAACACTAGACACTCTGATGTCTCAGTTGAATGTCAGAGATATTTTTTTGACTGTGACTGTACTTCTCTATTCTGAAAAATGTGGATGATGAAGTGTCCTGGTGCTTCTCTTCCCCCAGGATGGCTCAACCTCCAGAATTTTCGTTCCACTCTCAAACCTACAGTAGCAGCTGTCTGACAAGCTTTAGATAGTCTCATGCTGAGCATACACAGCTCAGATCATTGCTATTGATTTGCAGGAACCTGCTGAATAGATTTTTTAGGTTCCTTTTTGTACCAGGTTCTTCCTTTATAATTCTCTACTCTACAGGGACCATGCTCTTTACCTGCCTTTGTTCTGATAACTTCTCTCACCTCAGTGGGACCAGAGTGCTCTATTCAGACACAATTCTGTGCATCCAAAGAAAGAAAGATCTTGATCAACTTTGGACTGAACTCGTGACACTACCTTATCTAAGGAATCTTATTGTGTTTTACTATTGTACACAGTCTAAAAGGTTGCATCATATATTTGATTAATTGCATAGTTGTTTACACTGAGAGGGCTGTTTTTATATTACAAAAAGACGGTGTTGAAAAAATAGTTTATCCTTTACACATAATAAGTGAAAAATATTATATTTTTAAACCAGTATTTAATAGGACTAACCTACTGAATATCATGGCTTTATCCAGCACATATTAAATGTGTTTGGAGCTCTTATATAAAATTCTCTAAGGTAAAGCTTATTTCATAATAAAGTGTTGAATTCCATGTAATTTACTGAATATAGTCCACTGTAATATCAATTGATAATGAAGATCCTAAGACTGACGGAGCTGCAGATCACTGTCCCTCCCGAGCATCATGATATATCATACCACATATTACTATCCTGAGACATGGTCAAAATTTAAAATAGTTTCAACTGAATAGGCACTTTTTTCACATAATTATAAAATTAAAAAATGTGTCAAACCATCAGAAGTTGGGGATCATCTGTATAAACAAAATTTAATCTTAAAGAAGAAATTATTTACAGTTCTATTAAGCAAGGACAACAAATGTTAATGTTTTGTGCATTTCTATTAAAAGCTTTTATTTTTTATTGTATTCATTATTAATGAAAATGATATCTCATATACATGGTATATACTTTAGTATATATTTAGGTCATTATTCTATGTTCTGCATATTAACTATTTTTTATGTTGTATAAAATATTATTTGATACCAATGGTCATTGGTTCTAAAATATATTGACTTTAACATCCCTTTTGGTTTTGCAAAAATTTAAAGCATACAAGAGCTTTTTATAATTAATATCATATATGCTAATATTTACTACATTAGACAACAAAAAATTTTAAAAATGTAAATTAGTTAATTAACTTGCAAAAATAATCCATGTTAATGTAAATAACATAGGCTTCCTATTTTATTTTTTATCACATTGCCATAGGTTTATGCAATTCTGTTTAATGTGTGCTTAATAATGTGCTTTAAAAAAATAGGTTCTCATATTTGCTTTTTCATTCAGTATGTTGCAACATGATAGCTTGATAGTAAAATTTCTTCACACAGAGTTGAAAGAAAAGGGATGAATATTTTAACACAATTTTGACAACAGGGTTGTTTGCATTGTGAAATCTGAAACAGTCATAATTCTGTTATTACTTTTATGTTAAAATCAATTAATCTATGTTGCACTTTGAATACATCTTTCATCAAGGCATGGCATAACATCATGCCATTGTCATATGGGAATTTTATGTTCACTGAATTATGCCAATATTGTAAATATTGCATTGTATTAATCAAATCAATAACTTGAATATTAATTACTTAGAAATTAAATTAGTTTTAGATTAGGTTTATTTTATTGAAAATATGGTTATTGTATCAATAAGTTGACATTAAGTATTTTCTACTGGTACTTAAGTTTTATGTGTAGTATTTTTTCAGCTTTATGTTCTCAAGTAAAAAAGGAAAATTGCTTCTTTAAATAATGCAGAATATAGTAAATTATTTATGTGCATTTGTGTCATTATAACAGCATTAAAGATCAGAGATGTCTGGAATTTTTAAGAGTAAAACAAAAAAGAAGTGATTATACATAATCAAAGCCTCCTGTAATTTAACTAGTAATAGCACGGATTTGAGTAAGGTGCCAGAAAAATTTTTCATTATTCTTTGCCGTGTCCTTTGCGTTTTGATCATGCTATTACATGTAGGGCATTTAAATAAATATAGTCTTAGAATATTAAAAGTGAGCAGGGCCTCAGATATAAACTAGAGTAGTTTTCTCATTTTGTTAGAAAAAAAAAATGAAGTCTTTAAAGATCAGAGTTGCTCAGGTAGGTTGATGATGCAACCAGGACCAGAATATGGATGCTGAATCTTTGTGAAGGACACTACCCTTCCTTCCCTGGAAAAAGGAGTTATGAGTTGTCCCTCATATAAATCTGAAATATCTGATAAAACTTTGAAATTACCAAGTGATCTCTTTGAACAAACTCATGTAATAGTGTAATCAGATTTTCTTGGAAAATCTAATTTAATTAAATGTAACTTAAGGGAAAATACTTAACTTCTGAGTTTGGATTTTGGTGAGCCTAATGTGTCTGTTGGATCACATTTACCATTACATTGAAACATGCAAAAATGAAGAAAAGACAGCATAAATTTACAAAAATGATTTTTTTTAATGATTATGATAGACATTTATTTAAAGTAACATATATGCACATGAAATAATTTTTAAATTGTATGTTTCAGATTTAACCGACTTCATAAAAATGAGGACAACTGTTTCCACAGATTTCAACTACATGATCACTTCTTTCCCCATTCTTCTCTTTCTTTTCTTTCCCGAATAACCTCTTTGAGATATGGTTCAAGATAGAATTCATCCTCCTCATATTTTGTCCACTGCTCTTTAGGCAAGATCTGTTGCCTCATGGTCAGGTCCAGTGCTCTCTTAATGCAAAACATCCTGTCATTATAAAGGTTCTCAGGAAGCCTTCTTACGGCTTCTTTCACATCTTCATCCTCATATATCGTATCATCTCGCATTAACCCAAGTTTATTGAATCCTGCAGCATTATAATACCATTTTCGAATACCCTCCAGCCACCGGCCTGATGCTGCAACAGCAGGCCTTGACGCCATTTTGACCCGGGAGCAAAGCGCTGCCTTCTGGGTACGTCCTAGAGGACGCACCGGGCCTTTTTTTTTTTTTTTTTTTTTTTAAGAGAGACTGAGAGAGGGGAGAGAGAGAGAATTTTTTTTTTTTTAATATTTATTTTTTTTAGTTCTCGGCAGACACAACATCTTTTTCTTACAGAAACAAACATTAAATATGACTTATAAAGGACATATTAGAGAAAAAAATTGAATCACCTTACCACAGAAAAATAAAGGGAAATAGCTTACTGTCCCCACTAAAATGTTACTTTGTAAAATTATCAGACCATGACATATTGACTGTCATTTGATTGGCTCTGTGAAGTAACCTAACAAAATATGTAGGTCTTTTTTGCTTCATCTTCAGAAGGATATTTTCTTTGCAATCATTTAGAAGAAATTATGTGGGTATTACACATGTATCTATCTATCTATCTATCTATCTATCTATCTATCTATGTAAGCACAGAGCAGGAAGATTATTTTTATTACTTATTTTTTTTAGAGAGAGAGAGAGAGGAAAGAGGGAATTTCAATATTTATTTTTCAGCTTTTGGCATACTCAACATCTTTGTTTGTATGTGGTGCTGAGGATCGAACCCGGGCCACACGCATGCCAGGTGAACATGCTATGGCTTAAGCCACATCCCCAGCCCAAGGAAGATTATTTTTAGCAGCATAGTATGTATATTTTTCACATTTCAATTCTAATATATAGACTGCAGGCTTTTTCAAATCATTGATGGAAATACACATAAAGCAGAGTAGAAAACTCCAGGTGGAAAAGCAGATGGTTAGCAGCAACCCTGAAGAATTGATATTTTACTGAGGCTTTGAGGAGAGGCATTAAAAGATATCATTGTTGTTTCTATTTTTCTCCATATCATAGGAAACACAACTGTCTATTGTGGAGATTGGAGTTATAGCACTTATGAAGATTCATTAAGATTTAGAATAATCGTCACAGGGAATGCACATTGTAGTTGACCAGGGATAAGTAAAGGAATTGATAGTTGGCACTGGAAGTTTCAATTGGTCTTGGACACTGTGCCTTTATGAAATAATCAATCTAAGCATTTGACCACATTCCTATAACATACAGGAACAGAAAACACTGGTAAAGTTTTGCATAGGTTCTGTCTGCATGAACAGTGGAAAAGAATGCTGATGTAACTCATAATCAAGTCACAAGATAGAACAGAATGTAGCTTAATAAAAAGATCACATGTAATAGAAGTGGGTGATATGAAACAAATAGAAAAGGAGATTTCAAAGATTTTGCAAAATAAATCTAGGAAAAAGACTATCAAGAGATGATTATTTACAGGTGATAATGTAGAAATAATTTTGTATGTAGAAATAATTTTGTATGTCATATTGGATTTTTTAAAAAAATGTTTGAAATGTTGCCATAGGTAATGAATCATTGGAGTTCAGAAAATTAAAGTAAATATGAGGTCATGGTTTTGGATAGGTCATATAGGTGGTCAATAAATTTGCTCAAACCTTAGATGATGTGAGCTGGATAACCATGAAAGTTAGAGTAAAGCCTGAATTCTATGGTGAATTGTGGGGAAACAGACTGTGGTTAAACAACAGATTCAAGCCACTGAGAAGCCATACATTTTAGAAGAATTTGAAAATTGTAAATAAGTAGAAGATAGAAGTTTAAAAGTGAGTGTGCAGAAAAATAAGAATGCTGATCCCTTTTTTGACAGAGAGAGAAGGGATAGCAAATAATTAGCCTCCACTTGCGAAAGACCTCAGAAAGTGAGAGTTCAGGCATGATTCTTCTCTTTTTTTTCTGTATATAAGGTGGTGGCTTTTCTCTTCTTAGTCCTTTCTCCAAGCTTTATAGCTAAATTCAATATTCAAAATGGGCATTCATTATTTTTATCCAGGAAGACTTCAGCTTAAGCCTCAAGTCAAGTCAAAAGTCTCTCATTAATTTTGCAATTGATTTTTTACCCTAAGTACTGTAGGCAGGAATAAGTTGTAAATGGTGAACGATCTACAGAGTAATTGATAAAAATATGGTTCATTTTACTAATAGTCTGAAGTTACTAGAGTCTGCTTTTGTTGTTTATTAATATAGAAGTACAAATAAAGTATATACTACTTATCTAAGATTTGCTAAAAATCAATGTGTCCTCACTTATTTTGTACAGAAAAAGTAAACACAGATGTAAACAGGGACTTTTTAAGAGAAGATTGACTTTTGGTGAATAAAAGGAATATATATATTTACTCTTTACTTGCTACCAAATACTAAAATTGATTTCAAGGTGGTCTTTTGTGTAAAATGAATATCCACAATTAGAAATACAAATAAATAAACCAACATAATTTGTTAAAAACTGTTTGGCTTGAAAATTCCATCCAGATAATGGAAACTATAGGTAAAATTATAAAGGAATAATATATGTCATTGCCTAAAGTACTTATACTTTTGAACCTAAAAATATAATGGGTGAAATAAAAGAAAGTTAAAAGTGAGAAATTACTGTAGCAAAAGTATACTTTAAATACTCTTATCAAATCAAGGAGATACTTTGAGAAGCCAGAAAAGATAACAAAAATGGAAAAGTCATAGAAAAATGAAATATCAATAAACATATGTAAGAGTGGTAACATAAACATTAGAAGCAAATGTGTACACTAATATTATTTTCATCCCACAAATGAACTGATTTTTTATAAGTTTTTTTGCTATATATTTTTAGTTGTAGATGGACATAATAATACATTTATTTTGTTTATTTATTTTTATGTGGTGCTGAGGACTGAACCCAGTGCCTCACACATGCTAGGCAAGTGCTCTACCACTGAGCTGCAAATCCTGAGATTTCTTTCTTTATATTTCAATAAAGGCAAGTGTGGACAATGGAGAGAGTTCAAAGGTTTGAAAGATAATTAAGCATTTAAGAATTTATCCTAAGTAATAAATAGATATGAAAGCTATAAATTATGTAGATTAGTGGTATTATTATAATAATAAAAATTTGGATATGATTTAAACATCTAAAAGTACAAGAATATATATTATTGTATGCCTATTGTATGCCAGATATGAAGAATTATATTACGATTTCATTTAAGGTGACATATATTTGAGCATAATATAAAATACTTAAATAACATAATGTGTAAAAATACAAGGCTATTAGCATTATTCCCAAAGCAACTTTTTTCCATGCATGCATATATTCAAGTAAGGAAATGACTACAACAGAACTGTACCCATAGTTTCCATTAGTTGTGGGATTACATATGACATTCTCTGGTTTTATGTGCTTCCCTGCTTCCAAAGCACAGATGGATGAAATTAAAAAGAGAAAAATGATAATATTAATTTAAATTCATCAATAGTCAAATTACAAGCAAATAGCTTCAACAAGAATTGAAAGCCTTTTTGTCATGGTGGATAAAGCAAAACAAAAAATCAGTTATATGTCCATTATATACGGTTTAAATGTAAGGACAGTGATAGGATAAAAGTGAAGATAGTAAATGATATACCATACTAACTAAACAAATGACTGCTAGTATTCCTCTTTTAACATCGGTCAGAATACTCATCAGAGTTAAGAATATCACCCGTCATAAAGAAAATCATTTTGTAAAGATAGAGATTCATAAAAAGGATATAACAGTTCTAAATATTTATGTATCTAATAATGGAGATTTAGGAAAAATGAAGCAACAATTGATAGAACTAAAAGGAAAATAGCCAAATTTTAAAAATATTTACCATACATAACATTGATTTAAAATTGATCATAGAAAAAAAATGTGAAACCTAAATCAATGTGAGTTTTAGGAAGGAGCATAAGTAAAACTATTTTTGTGACATTAGCTTAAGTGAAGAATTTTTAAGACACAATGTCAAAAGTACTATCCACAAAGAACTGATAAAATAAACACCAAAAATTAAAACTTGTACTTGTCAAAACATACTGCTAAGAGAATAAGACAACTTACATACGAAGCATTGAATGGATAAACTAGTTCTGGGACAACTTAATAACATAAAACAGATCAAAACACCAATATCATACAGTGGCACGAGTGCATCCCAAAACAAAGCAATAAAGAATACATACTATATTATTTTTATTTACACAATACTTGATGAGTTACAAAGCAATCTATAATCACAGAAATCACAATTTTTTTTTTTTTTTTGTCTCAGAGCACATAGGGCAAAGTTGAGTAAGAGAGAAAAGCTTGATTAAACTTTTGGGAGTAATAAGTATATTCATTATACTAATTTTTTGTGATAGTACCCACAGTGCATGCAAATCTATATAATTTTATACATTGTGTAAGTTCAGTTTCTTTCATGTTAACTATACCTCATTAAGAATATAAAGCCTTAAATATTAAAAGGACTATGTCATTGAAGCAACATGTTAGAAAAAACAAAACACTTTTCTGTAGATACAAATTGAAGTAAATAATATATGGAAATGTGTCCATTATTTTAAAAGACAAAAGTAAATCCGATAATTGTTATTATATTTGGTATTTTAATATTTTGAAACCCTGCATTTTATCAATATTTGAGAAATAAATGTTTCATTGCTTGATATTTACCCAAATCCAGATATTTAATTATATAAAACTTATTTTATGAACTTCTTTTAGTTGCTTAGCATTTATACTCACATTCAAAACTAAAAATATAAAACCATTTTAAAAAAAGTATTTAGTGATAAGCATATAAATTTTAATATTTTAGAAGGTATTTATTATTATCATTTTAAAAATCATTTATTAAGATATTTTTTCTTATCTTTTTATGTTATATAAATTAAATATGCACAGGAAAAGATCACAACATATACAAATTGATTAAAATGTCCTGAATTCTATTCCCATGTATCAATGATCTATAAATGAAACAAAGATATTTTATACATGCACTAAATATTTCAACTAATCATATTTTAAATAAAGAACTATATATTTGGTTGAAATTATAGGTGGTTTATAAAATGAGTTAAACTTAGATCATTTGTATGGTTCAT